TCTCGTTCTTCTTCGTATGATTCTAATTTTACTTTTTCTTTTTTTATTTTCGTTATGTATATATATATATATATATATAGAGAGAGAGAGAGAGAGATTCGTACGTTTCAAAATTCGTGTAAAAGGGTCTCGTTTAAGGCGAGAATTTTATTATATCGATTCTCGTAGAAAATAAATTTCTATTTCTCAACCCGCCAATATAATAATAATAATTAATTCTCGATGTATCGTCAGAAGTAAAAACGAAAATTTTATCTAGATTACTTAGACGCCACGTTTCCAAAGAAAGATCAAGCTCAATTAAATTGGAATGTTATTCGATCAACTTGAACGTATCTTTCTGGACAAATCGAAACGTTTGTTTCACGTTTACGGCGCGTTACGATACAGCAAGGTGGAAAATTGGTGGAAAAATTCTACGAGATCCACGATGTACACACGTATACATATATCAGAAATTTATCGCAGCGTTAAAACACGGACGATTTATTTGGTTCTCGTCTTACGTTAGACATAAATTTCCACTTAACCTGGAATTTAGATCGGGCGCGCATCAACCCACCACCCCCCCTGAGACTTTCCCCTTCCTGGCCCCGATATATCTAACGGCTGCAAGACAAAATCTAGACGGCCCTATCTCTGCCCCTTTTTCTCTCCTCTCCTCTCCAACCCTTCGTTCGATATTGGCTCGACGACGACGACGACGACTTTCTTCCGGCGTATACCGGCTACTAACTCGGTGATTCACGATTCCTTTCCATCCCTTCGAGATTAATGTCGCGCTCCTCTCTCTCCCTCCTCCGTTTCACAACGTCAACGGACCTCTTTATTTAAACGTTTCAGCTACTTTCGATCGACCGGTTAACCGGGTATCTGCTTGCCTGTGATCGATGGAGAAGAGAGAATTCTTGAAACGGAGACTTTTCCTTATGCGTTGTATTTTGTATATGTGAATTTTTTTGTTCAAAAGTAGTAATCCTCTTTTTGATCCCCTCTTTGATCGGTAATTCTTCGCGAAGAATCTTCGAACGGTGATCTATATTTTTCCGATCGAAGATATGTTCTTTCCTTTTTTTCATAGAAATCGAGATCTTTGAAATTATCAAGAATCTTGAGATTTTTCTTTAATTTTTCTCTTCTGTCTTCTCTTTCTTTCTCTAGAAATCGTTTTAACAGACCTTGTTAAGAATTTTTCGTTAAGATCGATGGTTGGATAGGTGTTTTCACCTCTAATTAAGAGGTGATCCGATTTAATCAATTCGAATCGTTGAAAATGGAACGAAATAAAGAATGGGGATGCGTTAAATCGAAACCCGGATGATAGATGGCAGATTTCGATGAACTTTGTTCGAAATTTATTAATGCGATTTATTATGTGATATATCAAATGTTAATAACGATGATTAAATTTGACGTTTAACGTCAAGATTTCATATCCCAAATTATACCGATCCTATAATCCCCTTAAACTACGCTTTCCTTGTTTCCATTTAAATTTCGAATAATAATCGAATAATAATTGTAAAACGAAAACGATTAATTGAATTTATTTCACACCAAGATTCTTTCACAAACGAAGTTGCGAAACCTATACACTCTCTATATACACACACATCGAAGAAAAGAAAATTGAAAAAAGAAAGAAAAGAAAATGCATCGCGACAGTTGATACACGTTAGAAACAACGTTGATTTCGTTGATCATTTCACGAGATCTGTTGTGCGCCAACCTATATCTAATAAAATAAATACCCACCGCGTATATCAAATTTACGCGTGTCCATCAGCCACGCACATCGACTTGGAGTGAATATTTTATTTTATACAACGCGGAGGAGGGGAAGGAGGTTGCAAATAGCGGGACAAATTTGGGGATCACGATTTTTCGATTTGCATATTTCATACTCTCCTAACCCAAAAGTTACTCGTACAAAAAAAAAAAAAAAAGAAAATTCAGAGTTTTCGAAAGGAAAAAAATTTTCGCCTCGAAATATATTTGGAGCAAGGACGATTTATTTTCGTCCGCTGTGAAAATAATCGAGATCGAAGATAACACGTGGAAGGGGATTGGAAGGATCTCTGCGTTGTGTTGTATAAATATGTGCGATACGTATCCGGGGGGAGGTTTATCCGTATGCTGTTCAGTTTATGGTACACAATCTCCTGGAAAAACATCTCTCTCTCTCTCTCTCCTCCCCCTCTCTGCGCGCCCGTTTTATTAAGTATTCCACGTAGAGTGTGCCGTGCGCGTGTCAGTCGTTTCGAGCAGCCAGGGGTGAAAAGTTACACCGCAGGATTACAGCCGGAAAGAGCCCTCGGGGTGGCGATCGGAACCGGATAAAAATATATCATTTAACGCGTGGAAACGTTCGTTGCGACTATTGTGGGAAATTTCGTGGAGAAAGGTTTTCAGTTCAATTTTTTGGAAAAATTTGGATCGTATCTGGTCGAGGCGCTATTTCTCATTGTTCGATAAACGAGAGCTACGATTCGATCGTATCGTTTCGAAGGGAGGAATGGAAAAAAAAAAAAAGGAAGATTTGATATTGGTGTAAGGAGAGACTGGAATTCTACTCGATATCGAAGGGCGCTTCCACTGGAGGGGCGAATAATATATCTTAACGCCATGAGTTATCTGCTCTTCGGAGGGATGAACGGGATATATACGCCGCCTTAACTTTTAAGTACGAATTACGGCTATTGACGGCTTAAGCTGGCTTTGTTTGAGGGGTAAACAAGTTTCCTCTTTTTTTTTTTCTGCTACGCGAAAATACGATAAATTTTGATGAGGAAGAGAGAAAAAAAAAATAGGAAGAAGGAAATTTGTATAGTTCGTTTAAAACGCTAAACGTGGTGGATTAAAAATACGATTGGGATAAAGTTTAAATAAAACCGCGATGATATTTAATTTGCAAGTACAAATTGAAAATATCAGAGAGCAAATAGCCTTTGACAAACAGCGACATGCGAAATTGCTTATCGAGTGATGCGATTTTTCTTTTTTTCTTTTTTTTTTTCTCTTTTTTTTTTCCACGTGTTTCAGCGTGGACAAACAGCGAAGCAAAAAATTGATACGTCGCTCCGGTCAATTAATTATATCGAGATCACGAGGTACTTTAAATACATCGAGATTGAAACTGTAATTGAAACTGACGAAATTGAACGAGTATCAATCGTTTCTCCTCGCAAATGAATTATTATTATTATTATTATTATTGTTGTTGTTATTACGATATTATTAACCTTTTCTGAATTCTTGAACCTTCCCCTTGTATCAATCAGATTCCCAACCTCGAAGAGAGGTCATTATTTTTAACGCTTATTATTGTTTTAATACAATTATTATCTAAAAATATTGTAACCAGTCGTTTCAATTATTATCTAGAAAAGAAAAATCGTATCAACTTTTCCATTTTTTTTTGTAAACACGCACGAAAAGATAATTAGAAAATTTAAATTCGAAAATTTATTTATCGTAAATAGAAAAATTAATGATCATTGACAAAAGGAAACCAGCTTTGTATCGTCCCATTTCATAAAATCCTAGTTGAGTTGCATCTTGTTGCTCGTCGCGCATCGAAATCGATTCATACCCGACTGTGAAAAATAAAAAATTAAGTAAAATAAAAATTAAAAGGATTTGATAAAAAAAATCGAGAACCAGTTTGCCCTCGTTCCCCTTCACTTATACACTTATCTTCTTGCTACGTGTACCGAAACTAATCTCCACTTACATCCTATAATTATGAAAGATAAAAGAAATCAGATGCAAATATTAAAAGGATTTCACCGTTGATAAAAGAATTCAGAACCAGTTCTCTATCTTCACCTACTCTACTCTACACCGTTTCATAAAAACCGTCTTCTTGCTACGTGTACTAATTTCCACTTGTAGTATCCTATAATTACGAAAAATAAAAACAAGATCAAAAATAAAAAGAATTTCATTTCGCTGACAAAAGCATTGAAGAGAGCCAGTTTTCTAACGTTCCTTGTACACCTTTCCTGAAAATTCGCATCCCACGATTATGAGAAATAAAAAAAATTACATGCAAAAATTAAAGGAATTTTCGTCGCTGATAAAAGAATCCAGATGAAACCTTCATCTTTCATAAAATGCATTGTTACTGATTTTACACTTACGAGAAATAAAAAGAAGAAAAAAAAAAAGAAAAATTAAAAGAATTTCATCAATGAAAAAAAGGATCGAGAACCAATTCCTTTTTTTTTTTTTTTCTCCATCTTCATTTATACACGCTTTTCACAAAATCCATCTTCTTATCACCGAAACCGATTTCCACTTTACATCCGGCCGACTATGAATATTCACGCCCTTACTTCGCGTTCAAAAAGCAAAGAAGAACGGAGACGGGCGAAAAAAAAACGGTAAAGCGCGTGGTAAAAAGTTGTACACGAGTAGGATGGCGCGACGGTCGCCGGTACGGATTTTACGGTTGGACGTGGCTGGGTCGAAAGCGTGCATCGTTCTAACACACAAGTGTCTTTTCGTTTGTTAATGCGGCAGGCGCGGATGGTAAATTACCAGGGCAATAGCGGTTCGAGGTGTAATGTAGCGTCGCTAAGTACCATTGCATTAGTGAGAGGATGCACCCGTACACGTTGTAGGATTGTTATCGTTTTAACAGGAAGGCTAACAGTGCCGGTAAATCTCGCCGCGTAACACGGCGGCAAGCGCATTTATCTGACCGTGTAGTACCACGTGCCGCCACCCAACGCGATCAGTTTTAACGCGATCGTGCTTCGTTTACAACGCGAACGTACCCGCGGCTGATTAACGGCCGGATATCGAAATATCTTTCTTATTCTCTTCCAACGGAATAAAGGTTCTCAAATTTTCCTTTCCTTGACAAAGATATCTCAATGTAATTATTCTCTTTCGAGTAGAAAAAAAAAAAAAAAATCGTACGAAACATCGAATAACCATAGTTAATTATACATACTAATTAATTTTCCAAATTGTTCCAATTCTGCCGACAATTAACGACTCGGACGACGGAAGAATGAACGGTTTAAGAATCGATAGATAGATAGGATAGAGAGAGCCGTTGTGTGGAAGCCAAAGGGAAGAAAAATAGTATCCATAGGACAATAGTTGAGCAGTATTGGAGGCAGTCCAACGCGAAATGGAACAAAGTGACGTAGGGACGGAAGCTATTATACTCTCTTCCGGCTCGATATAGTCGACAGTTACCGTAACCATCCCGATCACGACGTTCCGCTGTACGAAAATTCGTTTCGACGACTCCACGACTCGTAAAGATCCGGTTGCAGCCAGGCAGACACGTCATTTACGCGTCATTTTTTTCCTTCCCTTTTTTTCTAATTATATTTGACCAGACCGCAGAGACACGAAGGGAGCAACATCCATCACGAGATTCGCAAGCCGCGCGAGCCGATGATCGATATACCCATAATCTCTGACCCCGCACACCTCGTATTTATCCCCGCCCCTCTCTCAGACCGCCTCTGGTATAACTACCGTTCCGGTATTAACCATAGAAAATGGGAAAATTCGGGTGTTACCCAGCTATTAACGTTAACGGCCACAACGTTGCTCGCCACCTTCTCTAATGGGTACACATTGCCCTCGTGTCGGAGTAATAACGACTCTTTTCACCGATGTTTTTCCGGGGATGGAAATCGGAGGCCGCCGATGCCCGATCCCGATCTCGACCGATTTCGATGCCTCTGCTCGGCTAATCGTCGCTCGATTCCCAATCTCGATAAAGCCAGTAATAGACCAGTTACGTACCCTAACCTCACTCTCTCTCGTGCCAACCGCTCGGCCCACCGCTCTCCTCCTTCCTCCTCACCGCCGGATACGTACAGGGTGTCCCAAAAGTAAACCGATGTCGATACAATGTAATTTCATTTTCGCTCGAACGAAGCTCGAGTGGAAAGTGGCTCGAGCGTAACGGATTGTGTCTTTTTTCTCTTTTTATCGAAACAAAATGGAAATTTGTAGAGGAAGGAATTTTATAAAACTTTTCTAACGAACGAACGAACGAACGAACGGTGTATTCGGCAGACGCAGCTTAACCCAGGGACGAAGGCTTGCAGAAACGCGCATCCCACACCTCGGGCTGGAAGCGCGTTCGAGCGTGAAAGCTCGGCCGAAAAACTGCGTTGCACCGGCGTGAATTTGTAAAACGGTCTCGTAGCTCTCGCCCCCGCGGAGAAGAAGAACCGAGGAGAGAAACTGGTGAAAAAACCGCGCTGCTCGGCGCGCCACCTTTCTCCCTCTCTTCCTTTTTTCCTTCCTTCGTTTCTCTTTTCGAAAATTATTGGCCGTCTTGACGTCCAATGTCCACGCGAGCGGTTTCGTCGAGAGATTCGGATGGTCCGTGAATTTTTCTGCTCGGCCTCCCCTCCCACCAATTCTTTTCTCCGCCTCATGGCGGAGATTATTCGAGAGATTCTCTCTTTTTCTCTCTCCTTCTCTCTCTCCGTCCCCCTCGCCGTGTGTAACGCGTGACGACACGATTGTGTGGTGCAGCTTGCAACAACGTGTATTTGATTTTTCTTCTTTCAATGGGTGTAATCGGGGATGAATTCTAGCCTACCGTAAGGGCAATTTTAAAAGATCGCCATTCGGTTTCCATTGTCCACGTTAACGGACACGAAAAATGTGTCTTTAATGCGCTCTCGCTTTATTTTTCCTTCCTATTGGATACGCGATGTTTCTAGATGTGTTTTCAATTACTAAAAAAAAAAAAAAAAGAAAAACAAACGAAACGAGAAGCTTTTTGGCTTGATCGAAATTATCGAATTATCACGATAATATTAATATACTATTAGGTTTCACAAGGAAAATTACAGTTTACGTTTCTCTCGTGAATTCATTTTCTTCTATCCATTTGCATATAAAAAGAATATGTAAATCTATCTAGGTAGGTCAAATAATCCTATTCAAATTTCAAACAATTATCCGCAAAGTCGAACGAAGAGGAATATTTTTCTCTTCGGAAAATTATTAATATTCAGATAGCGCAGTGAAAATCATCAGGCAAAGTCGAAGATATGGCAAGCGTTTGTTTAACGTCTTGTCGTTTAATGGTTGACGTTTAATTCAGAATCTTGTGTGCCTTCTGTCTCGGCTCGAGTCTCTTGCTCGCGCTCGTTTCACTCTGAACTCATAAATCTCAGAAAACTTGGGATGGGGAGGGGGAGACACAATGCGAAACAGGATTGGCTGAGGGAAGCTAACCACTTCCAATTAGCATCGCCGACACAACTTTCCACACACCGTGGATCTATGGAAACTTTACGATCACGAATGAACAAGCGAGGTCAGACGTTTTCGTTCCGTGTTTCGTAACGTTCGAGCGGTTAAAACTGTTTAATTCGTGCCCCCGTGTGAACACGTGTTTTGAAAAGTTCGTAAAATATATATTTCGTAGCTTTCGCGTAAAATTCGGTATAATTCGTGATAATGCAAAATACAAAAACAAATCCTTGTTTAGCTTCCATTTCGTTTGTTGTTTGTTTCGAAAAAAATAAATCAAATAAATAATAATAATAAAAAAAAATGTCACGAGAAAAAAGTTGGATAAATTATTTATGAAAAGGTGCGATGATTTTTTTAATATATTGTCTTTGAATCATAAACCTAACCTAACTTAAACCGTTTCGAAGAATATTTGTTGAATAATTTTGAATTAACGAGCAAATGATCAAATAAATTCTCAACAATGTAATTTAGAATAATGTTGACAATATAGATCAGAGAATGATATCTTTTTGTAAACAATTATCAAGAGTTAAAACAATGTTGAGACCTGTTAATTTATAAAATCAATATTTGAATTTTAAAATAAACTCTAAAATCCTGATCATTGCGAACATTTCTTTCTCTTATTGCAATTCGATTCTCTTAAAAATACGACTGAGCTCAAGACACTTGAATTAAATCGGGCTGATATCCCAACGTGGACGCGCCCTACCTGTCGCGGTATAGAGCCGAGTGGCAAATAGCTAGTGCAGAACAGTGAAAGCTCCCCATGGGCTCATCCCCGTGAACGACCTCCTGCAAAAGCATTAATCACAAGCTACTTGTTATCCCTCCTCTCGTTATGGCTGTATCACACGTTTGGTTTAAAAAAAAAAAGAAAAAAGAAAAAAAAAATTCCTCGTATTTTTCATAGTAAAGTTCACATCGTTATTGTAATTTTTTTTTTTTTTTGCCCCGACTCGTTCACTCGGTTTGAACATTTTATCTGCATATTTAATGTTTCTCATCTCACTGGAAAATATAAGAATCGCGACCGTGTCCGATGTTATGTTGTATTAAAATGAAATATTAAAATGAAAATAAACTCGAGTTGCGCGAGATACGTTGTTTCGAATTATTAGTTTACAAGTTCGTTCGTTTTTTTTTTCCCGTGAGTTGAGATACAGCTTAATTATTAGCAAAATTAAAATTTCGTTCTTGTATAAATGAGAATTTTGTACGATTGTATACGTAATCTTCCGATTGATATAATTATCAACTCGATAGTCCCCCTAATCGAACCGATCTTCTAAATAAATTTTAAACACCGCAACGAAGAAGACTCGACGATGAAACAGCTCTCGCAGATTCGCCACTTTAACTCCTCCCCCTCCTCCGTCTCAACTTTCTCGTTGGACGATAAATTCTTCTTTAGCCTTCATTGACGACTTCATCTCGCCTTTCGTGAAACTTGCGAAAGCCTCGCGATAATGGCTATCCCTACCTTTTGAATATTCAGTCCTGGGACAAGATAAGGCCAAGATGGAAGAATGATCGTCGTAACCCCGCGCAAAAACTTAATTTTCGGGCCGTGAGCAACGTATATATAACATATATAACGCATTTTCTTTTCTTTCCTTCCTTCTTTTTTTTCCACCCACGATCTCGAGGGAAAATCGATCAGAGGTTAAACGTGGCATAAAATTTGAAGAGTCCTCCCCCTCCTCCTCGTCCTCGTGCCGGGCCACCGCGTCGCGGAGCATCCCTCCTCGAGGTCTGTTCGACAAACGGACGAACCGCGGCGTTCGTCGGCAGCGTAAGCACGCCGCTCTCCTCGAGGAAAGGCAATATGCATGTAAAGAGCACTTGGACCCGCTTTTACGACTCGAAAGACCCTTCCGGACACGGGTGATGGCAATCCGGCTGATGGAAACGATATTCGAGGCTACGCGGGCCGCGTGTATCGGGAAAACTTTCTCCTTGCCTCGGCCAGCCCGGTAACTTTGTAATTATTTCTCCTCCGTCCGCGGTGAATACGGTTTAAGCCGGACGAAAAACGACGCGGGAGCCTCTGCTAAGCGGTTTAAATATTTCATGCCCGTCGAGTCTATCAATCGAACGGCTTCTGACGGATCGTTTTAACGGATGCTGCCACTCGTGCACTTGGTTAGGGGTTCCCTCTCGAGGAGAGGGAACGTACTGGATTTTTCGCGTATTATTCCGTTCCTATCGTATCGAGCACGCTCAAGGGACACGCCGAATTTTTCGATATTTCGTTTATATCAGGTAGTACCACGTGAAATTGCCGTTTTTCTTGTTGGTCGAAAAGAAAACAATATATTTTCTTTTATTAAACTATAATCTTTATCCAATCAAAATATGAACTTTAATTTCCCCAACGAGATTTCAACTGACATAATTCCATTTTTATAAAAGTTTTTGGTTATAGCGCGAAGAAATTCTTCGAATGCTGAGATTACAGCTTCTCGTCGAGTGACGAATATTTGATTTTTTAAAAACAAGCGTAAAACGATAATCGGTTGGTGAAATATCTACTTTTCATTGATTAGCTAATTTTTGTAGAGCGTTCTTATATAGAAGAATAAATCCACGTCTATTGATTGACGCTGCTGTTATAGTACCTCCTTGTTTCAGAAAAAAACAATTATTTTCTTTACAGATCATATAGTCACCATAACTTTTTTTTGTCCATAATGATGGTTTCGATACTTGTTTAAGATTTTTATTAGCTTCCAATCATTGTCAAGATCGTGTACGATTATCATATAATATCGATTTCTCATCACGGGTTATAATTCTATTCAAAAATAGACTTCTACTTTTTCGAGCTTTTCGCGATAAGCACAAACGTCGCAACTTTTGATCCTTTGACAATTGATGACAGTACCCACTTTTCCAATTTTTTCACTTACCCAAATGTCTGAAAACTGTTATTGGAGATACGTCTAACTCTGTTTCCACTTTGACTTTCGATTTATTAACAGTCCTCTCGTCGATAGAATCTTCTCTGAAAGCTAACCTAATATTTCGATATGCACTGTAGCCCAAATTAAACTCGTACAGGAATAATATTCTAAATAATATTCACTTCTCAAGAAACCAATATAAAAAAGAATTTATCACGTAAAGAAGATACAAGAGGACGACGACAAAATATGCTAAGTAAAATATAGGTTAAGTAGAGTTGCAGTACAAGCAGAGTACAAGCAGTTGATTATTATTTATTCTAAACTTGGCAACTTCACATGGTACAATATAATACACGGAAGGTGTATTAAGGTATATTTCGAGCAAAAGTAACTAAATTTATAAGTTAAATAATATTTGTAATGCGAATGATATATTTCTTTGTTTTATCGTAAGAAAAGTGATTTTCTTTTGAAATTTTGATCGCTGTAATTTACGAAAACGTTAACTTCGTTTAACGATCTTGAATAATCACGAGTTAGTGTACCGTTTAAATTCTCATGAATGTGAAAATGATGGTAGTACAGTTAAAGCTGGTACGATGTACTAACGGAAGCCCTAAGGCGGTTTAATTGTGTACGTTTTCTGTGGATTCTCGCGGGAACGACCCGAGGTTTAGGGCTCGTGAGTGACCCTATAAATTCACGTAATCTGATTTCGAGAGCAGTGAAACCGGCTTCCCTTTCGAAATCGAACCGGAGAATAATAGATTTCCGTGATTTCCGGAGACGTTTTTCCGTCAAATATTGATGGTTAGTGAATGTTGTTGAAAGTGGATCGGAATTACTCAAAGGTAATCAAAGGAATAGCCAAACACGTTTTAATTAACTCGAAGGAAATTATTTTTTTAAAAGAGATTAAATTCACAAAAAAAAGTTGTTATAGTAAAAAAAAAAAAAAAAAAAAAGAAAATAGCGAAACGTTTAAAAATCTTTCATTTCCTATCGAGGTGAGTGTAAACAAGTGAAGAACAAGAAATTGAAGGAAAATTCAATCGGATACAGGCAAATATTTAACCAATTTGAGAGTTGGGCTATTTTATCAAGCGAGAATACACGAATAAATGTTCCGTGGATAAGAAGTGATTAATACCCGTGGAATCGAATCACCAAATAACTAATTTGCAACCTGTAAACGGAAGTTTCTGGTTTACAATAACAGAAGGGTACAAGAAACTTGCGATGTCTTCCCAGATTTCGCCCCTTACAATCCGGTAAAACAAGAAACGCCGAGCCACCCCCAACGAGTTACGAACTTTCATTCGTCCCACCCTAACCATTTCCTATCGGTCA